GCTCTAAGATTTTAATTGGTCAATGTCACCTGCAATGCCCATAAGCAACATATTGTAAGCCAAACACACCCAGAAGCCTACACATGAGCCAGAGGACTGTGTTCCTAATCACCACAAGGAGCATGCAGAACAGCACAGACAAGCACGCATCCTTACCCATCAACAGCTCCTGCAGAAATAAGAGTATGCTCATCTTGAAGCAGCACCACAGTTACACTCTGCTGGAAATCCTTAGAGGAAAAGAAAGAGCTGTTTGTTTTCTTTCAAGGTCAGCAAGATCTTGCTGCTTAGTTCAAGGCCAAATAAATACTAAGGAAACCTCCTCTCAGCCACAGAGGATGTACAGTCTTCTTGGCCAAAGGCCAGCTTGAGTTTTGCTTTAGAACTAGCTTAATCCTCTTGGTTTCTCCCTGTCAGGATAAGCTTCATGTTCTCTAGCAAACCGGTCACTACAGGCAGGAGGAGCTGGAATACCAGATGCCATTTACAACATGTCAGTCCTTCAAACCTTGCCAAAGTGAATGGCAAGTGTTTGAGTGGAACCTTAAGATGATACCCTTCAGTTGCTGACAATAACCAGAGCTTCCAATTCATAACTACAACTGCCTTCATCACTAAGCTTAATAGATTAAATGACTTGGTTCTTACTCCAGTGAGGCAGACGTTTGTATGATTGAATTGGAAGAAAAAAAAATAGAACATTCCCTCTCCCACAAAAAGGAATTCTGGCCATTCCTCCTCTCTGGGAGGGAGGAAAAAAAAAAAAAAAAAAGGTATATTTTCATCTGGCATTTGCACGGTGATGGCTTTCATTTACGTGGTTTGATAATTAAACAGTGCCTGAAGTTATCTATAGCAAGTGACTATTACACAAAAATATGCCTCCCCAAAGATAAACTGAAGCGTTTTCCATATTTAAGCTAGATGTTCCCCGTGGCTTCTTAAGAACGCTAGTATGCATAGCGCTGCTCTCCAAACAAAGTCCAACCTTTTATTTGTCTCCTAGATACCTACCACCAGGGGAGCCAGACCTCGCAGGTTCTGCCTCTTCTTTTTTGTTTTTGAAGGAGTCTGCTTGTCAACCACATTGTGTGCTCCACTGATTTGATTCACCTGTCTATAAAATCCATCTGAAAAAAAAAATCATGCCAACATGGTCTTGCCATCTTGCTACATTTTATTAAACAGACAGGAGGTTGGAAAACTTCCTTAAAAAGTGGCTGAGACTGACCTTTATATAACATTTATGCATTCTGAAAACAAAAATTTAGCTACATGTGATACTGGTGAGAAGAACAACAGAAGAGAATATGCTACACAATATTGCAGTGGTCAGTGTTACTTGGCTACCGAAACTAAAACTGGTACAGCCAAACTGCCTTTAGAAGTCACTACTCTGCAGTCTTTAGGATTTTTTTTTAATTTATCTTTTAATTCTGTACTTCTTATTTTATAAAACTCTGAAAGCTACATAAACTTTGTCATAGAAGACAATGACTTTTCTACTTTTTCTTCTGTACCTTCCATTTCTATCCTGTGCAGCCTTCCTTTTCCCTCATTTGCTGGTCAAGAGCTAAAGAATCCAAGAGAGATGAAACTGCAAGACACTGCACTAATCATTAACATCCACCCAGTGTGCCTCAATAATGTCCCACTTCAGGGTATTTTGTGCTCCTAGCATGTCTTTACACAGCATATTATAAGGGCAGGATGTAGATCATTCTGCAAATCTGCCACTGTTACAAGGTGGCAACAGCTTCAATCCAACAAGTACTTTTGACTACTATTTCTTACACAATGTTGTAAGCTCTTCTGAGCCACATTTGAAAGCACAGTTACCTTTCTTGTTACATCTGGTGTCCCAAAGCATGATGTTTCCATCTCTGCCTCCAGTACAGAAAACAGCTGAGAGACAATGAGAGATCTGTTAGCATCCACGAGTGTTAACTTGATTAACCAAATCTAGTACAATGCCATCTCTGGCTCTTCTGCCCCAAACCTTGGGATGCTCGTCCCAGATATGCAGAATCCAGGCCCAGTTTCTCTAACACTTTTTGAAAGCATTTCCTTTCCTTACTCTGCCTAATCTTTCCTTACTACTAGTCCAGAAAGAACTACTTGTGAAAAGAGTGTTCACATGCTTATGTATGTAAATAAGGACTGAATCATTGCATACTAGGTCTTAAATTTGGCCAAGATCAGAAATGTGCAGATACTAGCATGACAGCTAGGGCCCCAGTTTGACTGTAACTCTAAACTCCTTGAAGCCAAGACAAATTGTAATAATACAAAATTATATAAATATATGCTATAATAAAATGTTTTCCCTAAAAAAAAAGCAAAACTTAACAGTGAACACGCTTTATATTCTTAAAAGAAGCTTCAGCAAGTTAGTTTTGCTTCATTGAGTAGGTCACTGCTCAATGTGCCTCTGTGCTACCCATGATCACTGGTTTCTAAGACTCTTTTTTTTAGCCCCCCTAAGTATTAATGTGTAAGAGAGAAAGAAGGGGGAGAGAAAAAAAAAAAAAAAAATAAAAAAAAAAAAAAAAAAAAAAAAAAAGAAAAGAGAGAGGAGCAGGAAATATGAACATTTACCTTTCTCAAACCTAGAAAAAGCAACTGACTTGAGGCTACACTGGTGACCTTTGCATATGCCAAGAAGCTCCCCAGCTCTCACGTCCCACACCTTGGCTGTCTGGTCTCCCGAAGCAGTGACCTTCAAGGGAAAGAATAAAAAGCTTTAGTCAGTCACTGCAGCAAGTTGCCAAAGTGTTAAAAATAAAGTTAGACGGCAAAAGACTTCTTACAATTCTGTGTTCCCCTGGTACCCAGGCAAGGTCAAAGACAGCATTTGAGTGAGCCTGCCATTCTGACAAGAAAAAGAAAAGTCAAGATGAATTCAGTGCATTGCAGCATGAAGACATTTTGCAGAATGCAAAAGAGAATCAGACACTGAAATCAGAAAACTTGTTGTCAACAGTTTGCCTTAGGCATGAGCAGCACCACAGAAAAATTTATTTAACACTGCTAATCTAGGGACGTGTTCACACCACTATGAACAATACTCATGAAGGGATATGAAAGGATTCAACTACTGGCATATTTATGTTTAAACAACTTATGAGAAGTCTTCTCCAAATTCAGAGTATCATATACTTGACACATGAAACGACAATCATATTCTACGTAATATTTACCTTTAAAAATCACTTTGCTACTAGATTGAGCTTCAGTGTCATACAGCCTGACAAATCCTTCCTCATTTGCCACTGCCAGCACATGCTCCAAATTCGGGACTGAAAGAAATTGAGATTTATTTGTATATTAAGCAGATAAATCATGGTCATCCCTCCACCCTTGATGAAGGCTCACAAACACTTTTAACCGAACAGATTGCTGTGAAAATAAATAATTTTCAAAATGCAGAAATATTACCAAGGCTTTTAGACACTCTATTCAGGGTTTGTTATGCACATATGGGAAACCCGAGGACTCTAAGAGCCAATTCTCAAGTACCCAGCCTCTTTTGGCAGCTATAATAGGTCCTGCTTTACATCTTTACTTTACAGCCTGTTCTTTACAGCCCTTGGTGCTTTTTATCAGCCCAAGTAGGAAAAGCAGGAAGCAGCCAAGGGCACAGGCTTGTGTCAATACAGGGCTAATTCTGCAAGTGAAAGAGTTTTGTCCAGAAGACCAAAGACTGGAGCTTTCTCGCTTACTTCGTTCATCACTTAGGTACCACGGGGAAGCTCTGCATGGACATCTAGTGGCATATCCCTCCAGGAGGAGGTTCAGATTAAATATTAGGAAAAATTTCTATATGGAAAGAGTTGTGAACAGGCAGTGGAACAGGCTGCCCAGGAAGTGGTGGAGTCACCGTCAGGGATGGTGTTCAAGGAACGTGTAGATGAGGCACTTAGTAACCTGGCTTAGCAGGCACGGTGGTGATGGGTCTAGAGTTGGACTTGATGATCTTGAAGGCCTTTTCCACCCATAATGATGCTATGATTCCATACACCCTCCTCCTGGACTGCCTCCCACCGCCCCTCATTCCACTCCAGCTTTTACACACTTGCACAAAGCCCAGTTTGCCACGTCTTTAGCTGAGCCCTCTCATTGTGCACGTCAGCCCGAAGAACTAGAGAGCCATTAAAGTAAATCCTCTGCGCTCAGACCTTCACCTGGAGGCTTTCTATTAGGATGTAAGGGAATTCCACAATCAGATTTACATCCTATCTAGATGTGATTATGCTGTTATCAGCTCCCGCTAAAATAAAATAAAATAAATCTCATGGATTTGTGGAAATAACATGAAGCAACGCGGAGGTCTTTGGCTTTACCTGCCGCGAAGGCGCAGCCGAAGGGGGGCACGGGCATGCCCACCTCCCCGTAGGACAGCAGGTCATCTTCCCGCCGGCACTGGTAGCTCTCCAGAAGGTGCTGCAGCGGATAGGCTGAGGCGTGATCTGCGGAGAGACAAAACGGCTATAACGGCAACCGTAACGGCAACCGTAACGGCAACCGTAACGGCAACCGTAACGGCAACGCACGCGCCGAGCCGCCCGCGGCTCCGGGGTGGGATCGGGGCTGGGATTGAGGTTGGGGCCGCTGCGGTACTCACGGCTCTGCGGCGCGGCCCAGGCGCGGCGGAGCAGCGCGCGGCACAGCATGGCCAACGCTCGGCCCGTCCGTCCGCCAGTGCTCCCGCCGCCGCGCCAACTCCCGCCAAACAACCGACCCGCCAAACGCGCCGCGCCCGCTCATTGGCCAGCCGGCGCCCGCCGCGGCCCGCCCGCCGCCTCTCATTGGGCGGTGCCAAGAGGCAGGGCCGAGAAGCCACTCCCTTCCCAGCACACGCCGGCGACTGGCGGGGGACAAGACCGTTGCTGCGCGCATGCGCAGTGCTGCGCTCCGGGCCGCGGGCGCATGCGCACAAGCGGCGCGGCGGGAAGGGCGGGAGGGCGGCTGCGCGTGCGCGGCGGTGGTAGCGGGTGGCCATGGCGGGCGGCACCAAGTCGTTCCTGGCCGATGCGGGCTACGGGGAGCAGGAGCTGGACGCCAACTCTGCCCTCATGGAGCTGGACAAGGGTATGTCCGGGGCGGGCCGCCCGCCGCTGGGCGCCCCGCGCGGGCCGCGGCCCTCGGGGCCCGGCTGCAGTAACGAGCGTGGTTGTCGCCGCAGGCCTCCGGTCCGGCAAGCTCGGCGAGCAGTGCGAGGCCGTGGTTCGGTTCCCCCGGCTCTTCCAGAAATACCCCTTCCCCATTCTCATCAACTCCGCCTTCCTCAAGCTGGCGGATGTGTTCAGGGTCGGGTGAGTATTGGCCGCCGGTGCGCGGCGCCTCAGGCCCGTGGCCATGCCTTGTAGCCTGGCGCCTTGCTGTGTGAGTGTCCGGGCGGCGTGGGTGGCTTTCCTGCCTGCTTGCTGGCAGCACGGTGATCCCACAGTGGGCCCTGCAGGACTGCGAGTCCTTAGCTAAAGGCTGCCTGCACCATCCTTAGCGGCTGTGAGGGGTCAGAAACACCTTTTGTCCTGCCCTCAATCAAGGATTCACCTCTCTCCAAGGCATTTAAGCTCAGTGTTGCAAATCCCCGCCCTGTAGGCACATTCCAAAGTAATAAATAAATGAACATCCAAGCCTGCAAGCTGCCTTGATATTTGCATCGCGGCAAAGGTCAGTTAAGTGCCTAATACCTAAATTATATGTGTGGCAGAATTAGAAGTACTTTGTAGTAACTTACAGAAAGGTACCCCTGTCAGCACGTTTTCGTTGATTTCGACAGGCTCATTTCACTGGAAAACAATTGGGCCTAAGCTGGATGTTAAGTGTACTGTGGAAATGAAGTAATGTTACAATTCCCTTAACTACATATGTCCTTATATATAACTAACTATACATAACGCCATCAGTGTACTAAAATACACTAGCTCTGAAGTTAGACATTGCCTAGTTTTGATTAACTTAGATATCTTTAGTAATTTTTCTTGCTTGAAGTACTCTGTGTGTGTGTCTGTGAAATTCTGGTATAGTACAGTCTGATAAAGATTAGCATGTGTTTTCTAACAGGAACAACTTCCTGAGGCTTTGTGTGCTCAAAGTTACTCAACAGAGTGAAAAGCACTTGGAGAAGATCTTAAATGTGGATGAGTTTGTGAAAAGAATTTTCTCAGTAATTCATAGCAATGATCCAGTTGCTCGGGCCATTACACTCCGGTATGTATTTGTAAGTGAGATCTCAAGTACGTCAGATTCATTTAGCTAATTATCCTAGTCTGAAATAATAAAAGTCTGCAATTACCATGAATAAAATATCGGAGATATTTTCCACATTGGCCTTGAATTTAAAAGCAGAGACAATCGTCTTAAAGTGAGTAAAAAATAAGGATCTGTGTTCAGAAGAACAAGTTTCTTTGCAAGTTATGGTGGTGAGAGGTGTTCCAGACAACACTGAATTGGAAACAGGAATTCTATGTACTTGAAAACCAGAAGTGTAGTACACATAACTGTTGTTGTATGCATAAGGATAACATATTAGCTATGTGCGACATACATTTGCATATGATGGAATTGGATAGAGATGCCAAGTAAAGTGCTTCCTTATGCATCAAAATAGTTTTTACTGACTTAAAAATAATTTTGTTTACGTGTGCCTTGTAACACTTGCACCTGTTTTTCATTGTTCATTGCCCTAGATGTTTCCTGTTTGTCAATCCTTGATCAATAGGTTGTAAGGAAGTACCCATGTGTTATCCATTCCTTTGGCCTTCTTGGTTTCAAAGAAGGTTTAAAAGAAAGTTTTTCATTTAATGTCAGTGACCTGTTGCATTGGTGTCTGTCTTTCTAACCCTGAACAGCATCATGATCTTAACTGCATCTTGCAAGTCAATTTTGACTGTCTATTCAGAACTGTTACTGATTTCAGTAGTGAAAGGTGGGACACACTAACAGAGTTTTGTTTTTATTAGCTTGTACATCCATTTCTTTCCTATTTTGACCTAATTATGAGACTTTATTTTCATTTTCTAATGATTCAGCAGTTGATGAGTCTAGTAAATCTCTAGCTTTTCTTACAGTTTCCCTGCTGAGTTCTAAAGTAAGATTACACTTGCTTACTGGTATGAAGGGCTGCCTTGACACACTGCCAGAAGCCTCAGGAACCTGCTCAGAACCTTTGCAAATACACTTGAATTGTCCCTCAATTCACAAGATGCATGAAGTGAAAGACAGGTTAAAATAGTTGTTGGTTCAGCAATATGAAAATCTTAAATTGATCAGTTTTGTGTTTGAGTATTGTCAATAAGAAGGAACATGCCAAAAGAGAAGTTGGCTAAAACAAAACTTGGTGTCTGGGCATGATTTTTATTGCTAGATAGCTGTGTATGAAGATGTCTTGCTAAAAATGCCATCAGTCCAAATCCTGTATTCGTTCTGATTTTAGTGTGATTATACTTGACTTTCCGTGTTTGAAAGATACACCTGAGATATTCCTTATAAAAGCATAGGTACTTCAATTTGTTCCTTTTTTAGTATTACATAAAAGGGATTACACCACTACCAGTAACAACTCTTATCTTGGATCAGCAAATTATATTAGAAACAGTTGGTGAAAGTTTGATATTTGCTTACCTGGTTTTGGCAATGCTTTTGAAGCATTGCTTTCTTGCTGTGGTTGACATTTCTGCCTTTCCAGATGGTTGTCATTTATTTACTTGTGGCCTCTTAATGGAAAGAGGAATAAAAAGATTGGGAACAGCTCTCTAAGTCCTCTTTTATCTCCTAAGACTACCCAATTTATGATATAAAATCCTATAATGTATGCTTCGTGTGTGTATGAAAATAGCCATTAATACCTTCTAGCATTTAATCTGTCATGCTGATATCGGAGCTTGAACATAAAAGCATCAACACAAAAATACTCAGTGTTCCCAGCACTCTAGTGCACTCTTAATTCTGTAAGAATGCATGGTGAAAACATAGTCTTGCTGTGTCCGTTCAAGGTACAAAGATATTATATGAAAGTATATTGCAAGTTATAAGTGGTTTAATTAAGCTGCTAATAGAAACTGCTTGTCAGTATTTGTTAATGTTAATTACCAGCCTATTATTTTCACTGCTTGTCTCTGTAATAGATATGAAGAGCATTTATCTGCATGTAAGCAAAGTCTTTTAACTAGTCCTTTCACATCTATGGTTTCTTCCCTTCCTTCATAGTCACTGTGCTTCCTGATTCTGCTGTGATTTATTTCTGTAGGATGTTGGGCAGCATGGCATCTATCATTCCAGAGAGGAAGAATGCACATCATAGTATTCGTCAGAGTTTGGATTCCCATGATAACGTGGAAGTTGAAGCTGCTATATTTGCTGCTGCTAACTTTTCCGCACAATCAAAGTAAGATAATTCCTTTTTTTATATATACATACGTGTGTGTGTGTATATATATGTATATAAACAGAGAATGTAAACTCCATTGACAGTATCATTCAGAAAACTTAACTGTTTTCCCCCATAATGTTAGTGATGTCATTTGTAGCAAAGCATTTAATTATGTATAGGAATAGTACTGTGGGAAATCTGAATTCAAATTTAACATTTTCCTGATGTGCTACGGAGAAGTGCACAAATACAGGAAGGACAAGTGGAAAAGCACACTTCTTATTATACAGAAATCATATATTAGACAATTAAATATTTTGCTGCTTGACATGCAGATACATTTGAGAAAACTCCCCTTGTTTCACTTCATCATGCCCAGCATTTCTAGAATGCTCTAAGTTTCAGCAAGCCTTCATTGTAAAAAAAAAATATATATATATATTATTATTAAAAAGTAACATTTGGTCGGTTTGATAAGCATTTCACGTGTTACTTTGTCTTTACAGGGATTTTGCTGTAGGAATATGTAATAAGATCAGTGAGATGATTCAAGGTATGTATGTATATTGAATGATAAAAGAAAAAGCTGTATTTTCTTTGAAAATTCTTCATTCTTCATATATAAATATTACCAGATGCCATTGCCCTTTTCTTCAAATGATTCCAGTTCTCAAATTACGTCACCTCACAAATAAGTCAATATCTGATTCTTATGTGTGTTCACTTTAAAATGTAAGTTTTCAAAATAAAAAGGAAGAGTCAAAGCCTATAGCATGGTGAGGGAGCTTCTGTACGTTCTCAGGTGGCTTCACCTAAGCTGGTGTACATTGGACATGCGGCATAGCAAAGAGTCACCTTCCCAGAGACCTCTGAAAGCACATGATGCTGCTCTGGTTATACTGCTAGCTAATATTAAGGTTATTTAAAACTAATTAAGGAGTCTGCACAGTCAACAGTGATAGCAGCGCAGACATATGGTGTGTTTCACTGCTTCCCAAAAGCCAACGCAGAGGACTAATGCTTTGGCTGTATGTCCCTTCCATGTTACAGGTTTAGCCACTCCTGTGGACTTGAAGTTGAAGTTGATCCCTATTCTGCAGCACATGCATCACGATGCTAGCCTGGCCTCCAGTTCCCGGCAGCTGCTTCAGCAGCTGGTAACATCGTATCCTTCTACCAAGATGGTCATTGTTACTTTGCACACCTTCACCCTGCTTGCTGCTTCCTCTTTGGTTGACATTCCCAAACAGGTAATTCTTCTTACATGTGTTTCTTCAACTACATTTTCTTAAACTTGTTTTGTGCTTTATCCCAGCTGATGATGGAAATAAATTTTGATGGATGTGATAAGCAGCATTTATGAGTGATGTCTATGTTGTTTTTGGCAACTTCTGAGGCATCTGCAGTATGTTCATAGCAGGGCTTGCTGTGAATCATGCGAACGCCTAGGTTAGCCTTAATACTTGCTCATCTCACAGTGAGGATAGTGTAAGTAGTTTACACAGCTTCTTGGAGATGTTTTGTAGTATTTCTGTTAGGTGAGATTGCTTAAACAGCTCTCAAGGTCTCCTAGGTACCAAGGATGATATGGGGAAGAGGGCATGAACAAAGAGGAGAGCAGAATAGTGGCAAACAACTGCTGAACTGTTTTCACTTGCCGTGGGATAGCACCTTGAGTAGAGGCTGTGCCTCATAACAAGCACGGTAGTTTTAGCAGAGTAGGCTCAAAATTCCTTCATGAGTGCTTCCTTCTAGTAGCATTTCCTCCTCTTAAACACGGAATTTACTTTGTTATAGGTTCAACTTTTGTTGCAATACTTGAAGAATGACCCGAGGAAGGCTGTGAAGAGACTTGCGATCCAAGACTTAAAGTTATTGGCCAATAAGACACCGCATACATGGAGTAGAGAAAATATTCAGGTTTATACATTTTTAAGTTATATTTTAGTGTAAAATTTTACAGAGTTGTAGAATTCTTTTCTAAAAGAAGAAAAAAAAATCAGGGGGAAGGAAAAGTAGAGGAGGTTAAGGAGAGAACAGTATGTCTCTATATACTTAAGTTTGTTACTCTGACAGGCAGAGTGGTTAGATATTGCTTGAACATTTGAGAAATACCTGAGAATATTTGAGAAATATTATAGTGCAGTAGGCATCTTTACAGTAAAATATTTTTTCTAACAAGCTAGGAGCTGAAGAGTTCATCAGAACTGAATGTGGTCATTCCTTTTACAGTATTGGGTATGTGTTAAGTGCTCTCTTGCAACATTAATGGTGTTTGTAGGGGATTTGCAGAATGGTGTACTGAAAAGGGCAATTGTGTCAGAGAATTATTTCTCATATCAGCAGTGTCCTTGTGACTCTGTGACACCACAGAAGATGCACTTTTAGTAGACTGGAAAGCTTTCTTAAAAGCTGTAGCAACACTTGATCAGTGAGACCTGGTTTTATTTCCTGTTGTTTTAAACAGTAATCTGTTGGGTGTTTGCTAGCATACAGGACCCCCTGTCACTTTTCTGCAAGTTGTAACTTCAATCTACTAGAACTGATATTTCAAGTAATGATTTTTAACTTAGTTTAGTATTTTCTGTTTTAAGAGATTGATTTTTAAAACTTCCCATAAGCAAATGCAAATAAACCTTTACATACAGATGGCTTGTGGGTCTTCCTTCCCTCTTATCTGTCCAATTCTGTGTCCAACTCTGGCCTCCCCAATACAAAAGGGCAGGGAGAGTCACTTCTTCAGCGATGAAGATGACTAAGGGATTGGAGAATCTCTCCTGTGAGGAGCAGCTTAGAGATCTAGGACATTCTGTGATATCTTCTCCCTTCTTCTGGCCCTTAGGCACTCTGTGAATCTGCTCTTCATACTCCTTACGACAGTTTGAAACTGGGCATGCTGTCCGTTCTTTCGACTCTGTCAGGGACCATTGCCATTAAGCAGTACTTCAGCAGTGTACCAGGTAAGAAAGCTGGGTGAATTTGTGGCCTTTAGTGTGGTTTGGGGTGGTTGGGTTTTTTTTTTTTTTTTTTTTTTTTTTTTGTTCTCTCTCTGATGGATTGGCTTACTGCTAATACTTGGTTTTTTTGAACACCTCATGACCTATTTCTGAAGTGTTTTTAAAATAAAGATTCAAAATTCATGTTTATTGTGGCATCTTGAAAGGTATTACATATACTGAAGAATAACCGTGGACTTGGATTCTGTTCCTGATTTTGGGGGAAGTGGAGGAGGAAAGTAATTTGCTAGTTGAAAGTTTTGTTTACGTTTGAGTTTTCATCTTTTGTTTCTAAAATGAGGAAAATTTAATGCCTCTGAAATCACAAATGTGTATTTCTGCCTATGGTACTTTGAAACCATGGAGGTGCATGATTTTTGAGTATGAATAAATAGAGCAATGTAGCATAGAGGATTTATGGTGTGAGAGTGGGTTGCTCTGTTTCCCTGGCACAGTAAAGCCTGATGTGTTTCCTGCCTCTGAGTATGATGAGTCCAACTATATGGGCAACAGAAACAAAGAAAACTAGTAAATTCTCTTCATTCTGGCATGTCTTAATAATTAGTATGCTCACTAGCCTTTTTGGATTGGATATGATCATTCTTAAGACCTCCAAGTCCATGAAATATCAGACTTCAGACATGAAATTCTTTCTCATGTCTAATGTGTATAAGTTTTGGGGCTCGGGAAAGGAGGGAGAGCATTCCTGTATATGTAGGAGATATGTGCGTGTGCAGGTGTGTTTTAAAGGATAGGTTAAAGAAGAGGAAATTAAGCAAAGTTGGCCTAGATTTTATACAGAATTGTGTGTGAGAAGGCTTTGTGCTAAAACTGACTTTCCTGTTTCCTGTGCTGTTTGTCTTGTCCTTATTTAGGAACAGCCACTACAACTGCAAGATCATTTGATTTGGTGAAACTAGCCCAGGAGTGCTGTTACCATAATAACCGGGGCATTGCAGCTCACGGAGTGAGAATTCTGACCAATATAACAGTTTCTTGTCAGGAAAAAGGTAACGGAAAGCAAAAACAGTGTGATGTGGTTCTTTAATCATGCTTATGTGCTTAGCATGTATTAACAGGTCTTACACCCAAACTTGTCCTGTGCTAGCACGATCCATCTATAGGCTGGGGGGAATGGGAACTGTAATCTACTAGAAAATGTTCCCTATGAATGTTTGTGAAGATTCTGTCATCCTCTAATTGAGAGAAAATGAGTGAGCATAGTAGAAATCTTGCTGAATAAATGCTTGTCTCACCTTGGCTGTAGACTAGTGCCTTCCTTTTGGTGCAAAAATCTGTTGTAAAGAGTGGTCTGTCATTTAGAAGTTTCAATCCAGAGTTTTTTGCACACTCTAAAAATGTCAGAGCTTGCATGATGGTAGAATAGCTATCTGAGATATGGAATATCTGAATTAATTCTAAAAAAATAAGGCTATAAGTGCTAGGAAGTGTCTTATCAGTGCAGCCACACAGCAAGCCTTACACTGAGTGAGATTAGAAGCTATAAGAAGAAACTTACTTAGTCTGTTGTTTGTTTGTTTGTTTGTTAGATCTCCTGCCTTTGGAGCAAGATGCAGTTTTTGGATTAGAATCTCTCCTTACCCTTTGTAGTCAAGATGACAGTCCGGGAGCTCAAGCAACCCTGAAGGTGACAATAATGCTCTTTTTTATTGGCACAGCTTGAAGTTAAAGTAAGAGCTTGTATAGGAGAAGAAATATGCTGCACCAGCTTGTGTTTGGTGAAGGCACAAGGTACTGTGAGGAGAGTTCAGGATTGTTCTGTTCTCTGCCAGTAATAAGAGTTCAGAGTGGAAGAGGAACTGATCACCTCACTTTTGGGGATTGGGACACAATATACTTGAATACAACACTTTTATTATTATGGTTTCACTTTACCCCATAAGTTGTTAACAGTAATGTTATCTGGCTATTTATGTGTGAAGATGAATGGGTAAGGAGAACAGTCTCTTGAGTTTTTGATGTGTTCTTGTGCTGTGAACTCAGGGAAAAGGGCCTGAGTTCTTAGAAGTATGTGATTCTGAAAATACCATTTCCTGTGTAGTTCTGTAATCATATTTTCAGGTCAGTGTCTGTGGTTTTTTTTTTTTTTTTTTTNTTTTTTTTTTTTTTTTTTTTGGTGTTTGTTTTAGGTAGACCCTGTGTTTATTGTTGACACGTGTGAATTACAGATCACATTAACTTGCATGGTGAAGTTGGTCAAGTGCCGTCCCCACCTGAGCCAGTCCGTGGTGGAATCGCTGTTGACCCAGCTGCACAGTGCCCAGGATGCTGCCAGGATCCTCATGTGCCACTGCCTGGCAGCCATTGCCATGCAGCTGCCCGTGCTGGCAGACGGGATGCTAGGGGACCTCATGGAGCTCTACAAAGTCATCGGGCACTCTGCCACCGACAAAAAACAGGAGCTCTTGGTAAGACCTCCTTGCTCTGTTGGACTGTGCTGAAGGATCAAGTCTGTGAACCCTGCAGTAGATGCTTTTTATTTAAAAAAAAAAGGCAGTTAAGCTGTTAGCGTGCAAGTTGCTATGTTAAGCTATAGCCATATGTTAAATATTACTTTAACTTTTAGTTATATATGCTGGTGTTCAAAATCACGTGGCCCATGTAGGTGAAGTGTGCAATGTATTCTGTTGGGTTTTCCAGCAGGTGGCACTGTTTAGACAATCCTGACTGCTGAAATTTTGGGGGTATTCTGCTGAAATAATCTTTCTAGAAAACAAAACAAAAGTTAACTCTCAATTTATAGTTCCCCATTACTTTTAATATAGTGCAAGAGATACAAATGCTCTTATCTATTTTGAAATAAATTTGAATTTTAAGGAAGAAATTATATGGTTGCTGTTAATGCATTTGGAGTGTTCAAAAATATCAGCTAAGAGCAGCAGTATTCTTTAAAGTCTCTCTTTAATCTACAAGAAATACTTGAGTTACTGTAAATATTTGAAAGATAGGGCTAAAATTATTTTTTCCACTTAAAATGTACATTTAGTCTTCTATAAAGTTTTGAGCTCAAAATCAAGTGGATCATTTTGGCTAATTTAGGAATTTTTTTGTTTGTTTGTTTTGTGTGTGGGTTTTTTTTTTTTTTCTTCCCTTTACAACTTCCTTTTCACTCCTCCGTTCTTTGCTAGGTCTCTCTTGCCACGGTGATATTTGTTTCCAGTCAGACAGCCTTGTCTTCAGAAATCAAGACGGTGATCAAGCAGCAGCTGGAGAACGCCTCCAACGGGTGGACGGCGTACCGGATAGCCCGGCAGGCCTCCCGAATGGTAAGTGAAGGCCCCTGCCGCTGCTGCACAGCGGTTTGCCGTGGTGAAGGGGAGCCTGGTGATGTCTTTGAACTGAAAGAAAAAGTAAGAAAAATGGCAGGACTCAGAGGAAAATAAATGTTATTTTCTGTCTTAATTAATTGGACTGATGATTCAGATAAATGCCATTCAAGGCAGTTATCCCATTAGAATGGCTTTTCTAGTCATTTATCTCTTTGAAGTATTTGAGGAAAAGAGTAATGACACAATACTTCTATGGACATGTGCCTCATCTATTTTGACTGGCTGCTCTTTGGGAGGTGATAGAGAAACTCACAGCAGAAGAATATCTTTCTTCAATGTGAAGAAAAGGATTAGAACGTACTGTTCTTCTTTTCCCATCGGTGAAGTTGTAACTGGTGTTGGATTTACGTAGGTATAATAGTACAAGATGCCAGGGTAATTTTAGCCAGAGAAAATGACACATTGCAGAAGAGAGATTGGAGCATAGCACTATTTTGATAGCTCTGACAGAGCTCATGCTTTTAAGCTCTGGGCTCATTGGATAGTTTCCAACTCAGTGTTACTACAAAAATGCCAAAAACACAGGACATAGATGAAAGCAAAAATAAATACAAACTTCTAGATTTGTTTCTCACTTCGTTGGACTGTGTTGTGAAAATAAACTGTATACAGCCTGCTATTTGTTTAGCATGAACCTCTGTTCTTTTACTTATTTCTAGAATTGCTGTAAATGTTTGGAAGAAGTTTCTGTTTCTGTATTTGAATACAGTGTTGAAAGTGTTGCTGCTTGCTTATTTGTATGTGTTACTTAGAAACTTCCAGTCTTCTTTCTTGTCCCCTTCCCCAAACCTTCATGTCATTCCAGGGCAACCACGACATGGCCAGAGAACTGTATCAAAGCCTGCTGACCCAGGTGGCTTCCGAACACTTCTACTTCTGGCTGAACAGTTTGAAGGAGTTCTCTCATGCAGAGCAGTGTCTGACAGGTTTGCAAGAGGACAACTACAGTTCAGCACTTTCTTGCATTGCTGAGGCTTTAAAATCCTATCACAAGGGAATAGCATCACTGACGGTTAGCACAGATCTTCTGCTTTGGTGATTCTGTACGCTGTAGAAGAGGCATTTATTTGCTGCTCTTAAATCTCAAAAAAATGGAAATTTTTCTGGCATTTGCTGGACTTTTTGAAAGGAATATGGGGAGAAAGCTGATTGTAACCCACAATATCTTCAGAACATCTTCACTTTACCTTGTGGTGAAGATATTTAAGGGCTAGACTTCCAGAGCTCTTTTGTATGATTTGTGAGAATTTTTCTAAACTGACTGCTTGGGATGTGGAGATGCGTCTTTCTTGAGATGTGGAGAAGGATTGAATTACCCTCCTTCCTCCTCCTGATCTGGTGTTGCCTTATATTTGACAATAGAATCCCAAGGAATCCTAATCAATAAAAGGCAACACTATTAAGTAGAATGAGGGATGACAAGTCAATCTCTTCAAGACAGCAGAGTTCAGACTGCATGTTCCTTAAGCAGAAGTTTCTCCTTTTCACAACTGAGGTTGTGAAAGTAGCTGGTTGCAGTGGGGAGAGGAGGAGAAGCAGTGGGAGGGCAAGGCATTGATGAATGTGGGCCTGTGGTTCCCACAATGAAATTGCTTCTTTAACATGAGATGACCCAACTTTACAGCAAGCTTTCTTTCATATTTTGATTTCCATAAGCAGACTTTTATGTGTGGAGTTTTGTATGTCTTTCAATGAAGCTGCTTACTGTTGGCCATTACCAGGACTGTCAGTGTCAAGACATTTCAGATACTGGTGTTTGTTAACAAACTGCCCTGAAATCAGCAGGAAGGATATGAGCTTTGTGTCTGTGTCCTTTGAGAGGAAACTCCATAATTCTTCAAGTATTTATGTTTATTTTTTGGCTGAGTGAATAATGCTTTTAATTCATCGTTTCAAGATTTCCCTTAACATCTAAAGGACCAGGGAGATGGGAAACATCAAATTAGGTGTTTGTATTTAATACAAGCAGAAAAGTAATTTGTTTAAATAGATCATTCTGTGAGTCAGTAATTTAATTAGCCTTTTCCAAGACTTTTTTTTCTTCTATTGAAGTATTACTGTTCTCATCTCCTATGCAGCCTTCACATCATGTGCATTGTGTAGTTACTGCACCCAGAAAAGTGCTTCCCTAGGGCCCGTTGTGGTCTAGAGAAGCAAGTACAGATTTTGGAGATGTAACTGGGTTTTACAGCAGACCATTGCTGACTTGTTGCATCATGCTGGACAAATTATTAACCTATAATTTATTTAATATTACATCTCTGTAAAAGGAGACACTTGTGTGAACAGAACTCAGCGTTTCAAAGAAGCAAGTGTCTTAAGGGCACGTGATGATACTCGAGACTTCTGCCTTCCCTTCTTCCCTCTCCCTCTCAGCTGTCCCGTTGCTTCTGCTTCCGTGCAGAGCGTGACTCGGCTCTGCAGAGCCAGCCTGCTTTGCAGGCTGCTAGGGCATGGGGCAGAGCCTGTGTGATTGCCCACCCTGCAGCTAGAAGCCCTGGGCTAGGGCAGCTGCAGCAGCTGTGCAATATGCAGCCAGCATCACATCTGCTCATGAAGTTACCCAATGGCTTCTTGATAATCATCCTTCTTACATTACTGTATGCAAAGTTTTCTTTCATGTGAGTTTTGACACTTGAAAGAAGTGAATTTATAGAAGAGGGGCTGGATGTGTGGGTGGGTAGGTGGGGGGATGTTGTAAAGTGCTTCAGCCTCAGTTTCCACCTGTCTTGCTGTAGGCACCAAAGCTTTAGAGACAGGGCTTGCTCTTTTGCTCCTTTTTTTTTTCTTTTTTTGGCCCAGAACTTGCGTCTCCTTGGAAGCTTGATGCTTCTTTTTTGCTATAGGCCATCTAGGGAAGGTACAGAATTTGAAGAGAGCTTTAAGTAGCACTCACTCCGAATGTGCTGATAACAGTGGTATTAGTGGGGAACTTAATTAAACTAAAGAACACTTTCTGTGGTTTTCACAGAAAGTACAGTAGCTCATTTCTTGCCCATGGCTGTATGCATAGAAGATAATGTAAATTGCAGTATTAATGAGGCAAATTTGTATGTCCATTTACAAGAATCCAGTCTAATTTGGGCTTCTAAAAATGTCTGGATTTTCTGATATAAAGTACTGGTTCTCAATTCTCTATAAAAGCATATAGTCTCTGCAGAGCACTTAGAGTCCAGTGAGGTCCTATCCATGGAGAGCTTTTGACACCTCTTCCAGAATAAACTGTTGAACAATTTCCACTTATTTTATTTTTATAAATGCCCTTAGAAAAGGAAAGCAAAATGATAAGAGGGGATGAATGGCTCAAGTGATGAAATAGACTCATTTCTTAGGTTGAAATCTAGCTCAGTAGTTTTAATTAAAATGGTTGTAGTTTCCTCACATTAGTTGGTGGCAGGGTAGTTCTCAGATAACACATGAAATTTTGAGATAAACTTGTTTGGTTTCTTGCCAGCAAAAAAAGTTGGTGAGGTTTTGGAGAGGGATCATAACTGCTTGGCCCCAGCAGTGGCCTTTCCTGGTGAGGAATGAGAATCCTGTGCATATTGTGCATCCGCTCTGTGAGTAAGGGAAGATCCTGTAGAGTTGCCTTTGCTGGGAGGGGGGAGGAAGGTTTTCAAAATATAGCAGTATATGAAAAATAAGTGTTTAATTTCAGCTTGACTTCTGTTTACTCCCTCCTGGGTGCCTTAAGCTGTCACAGATGCTTATACGAGTCAGGTAAGCTCTCAGGGAGCACAGTTATTTAGAAGTTACAGTTCTGTGCAATAGCAGCATGCCTTCCCTCTTGGCATACTGTTATTTAATATCCTCAGTTGTCACTGACCCCTGTCTATGGCATCATCAAACAGGAGGTTCGTTGCCTTTCCTGCCTGCTTCCCAGTTCCAAGGAAATCAAAGGTTTTCATTCCTTCCACTTGGTGCAGGTTACTTTACTTCAGCCAGTGCTTTCTCTTCTGACTGATACAGAGAATCCTTCTCTCAACTGTTTTATTTCTCTCTGTCCAGCATTTCAGTGTCCTCTCTGTTCTGCCAAGGAGTGTCCGGGCTGTTGTTATTTGAAGCCTGATGAATTGGTGGTGGAAACGGGAGGAATTGGCCCCTTAGCTGTATTGTAGCTGTTTGACTGATGTTGGTTTTAAGGCTCATGTGCTTGAAATACAGCTTAGTAATTACCTAAGCTTGTGTGTCCTTCATTTCAAGTATGATTTTCAATGGAGCAAATCTGCTATTTTTTTTAAGTAACTTTTAGAATTAAAGTGTTGTGCTGTCTGACGAGACAATTCACTGATGTTGCAAAATTATTTTACCATGTTTGCTTTTGACCTACATTACAGACATTGCTATTGCTGTGTTTCAGGCTGCCAGTACGCCACTTAATCCTCTGAGCTTTCAGTGTGGGTTTGTGAAACTCAGGATTGACCTTCTGCAAGCTTTTTCTCAACTCATTTGTACCTGCAACAGCCTCAAAACAAGTCCACCGCCAGCTATTGCCACAACAATTGCGATGACATCAGGAAATGATCTCCAGAGGTGTGGACGTATCTCTAACCAGGCACGTGTTGGCTGTTTTAGCGGGGTTTTGTGCAGTTTTGTTGTGATTCTGGAGTACCTATTGAGAAACAAAATTCATCTCTGGAAAGAAGTGAAAAGTGGCAGTAAAGTGTTTCACTAAGTAGTAGGCCTGGTTTTCTCCATGGTGACTGTAAAAATATCTATCTGTAGCAGACCTAATTTTGAGGTTGTGTGTATGTGCATGTTTTTCCACATATTCATGCAAACACAGTTTCTAAGGATATGTGTGTACAAACCAGATGAGAGCACTCAAACCAGTGAAGCCTTTCCATCTTGCTTGGGAATGCCTCATGCACTGTAATTACACTGGTTGAAAGGAAGAAAATGCACTTAAAGATCATGCTAGAATATTTCTTTGGTAGATGTTAACAGCTGGCATGGATAATTCTATGTCACTCTGGTGCATTTTTTCTGTATGAAAAAGTAGGAATTGCAGATATCTACCAGAGTATATTGTCTTCCCTCTGTTACAGGTTATAGCATAGTTGGAGTGGGGAGGAAGTGGCTTGTTTGTTTATTTGTGTCTAGTAAATTGTCTAGTAACATTTCATTTATGATTAGTAACATTGTCTCTGTAGATGAAACTCTCCATGGAGGAGTTCAGGAACTTGGCTACACGTTATGGAGATCTGTATCAGTCGTCTTTTGACGCAGACTCGGCGACTCTAAGGAATGTAGAATTGTATCCTTTGAAAAGCTCCGAATTTGCCCCCTTGCCTGTCCCTTCTTGTGCAGGCAAAATGAAGCTTAACTCTTCAGTTTCCTATGAAGGCCGACACAAACTAATATTGAAGTGAGTAATAGCACAAAATCAGGTACAAAGTGATGCTTAAGGCATATTTGGAAATAAGTATTATTGTGCAGTTATTTCAAATTAGTTTCTGAACAAGTAAGTATTCAAAATTCCCAGTAGCATAAAGATAGAAATTCTTGTAGTTCTTGTCTGTACTTACTGAAGGAATAGTTATTGTAGGATTCCTTTTTTAAAAATAGAGAACCAAAGAAAATTGTCAGTAATGAAATACCGTATCTCCTGTTTTAGGTACCAAGTTTATAAATCTGTTAAATCTTTAATGTTAATATCAGACAACAGCAGAGCTGCCTGCTGATTTCACATGCAATAGAAGCCCTAATCTTGGATCCAGAATCTGCAAGGTGAGTTTGGTAGTTAACTTTCAGCTGCTCTGCGCTTTATTCGTTCCCAAATCCTTGGGGCTTCAACCTGGGAATTCAGAAAATGTCCCAGGGGACCTTTGTGGCTCTGCTCTGGGCAGGCTTAAGGACCAAGAGACTTTGCCCCACTTATTAATTAAATTTCATCTAGAAGGTGTTTTAATTCCAGCTGTAAAAAGCATGAGGCTGTGGATCTTTCAAAAGTTAGGGGTCTAGGAGGTGAATTTTTTTCAAAGTATTTGATTGTGAGCCAGGAAATGTATATTTTATACCTACTGCTATTCCTGTACTTCATTGAGTTGTGAAACTTTTTAAAACTTACAATAAAAGTTAGGGCAATTAAGCATACTCAGTCTCAGTTAGACCTTTAACTGGTCTGAGTGCTAGAGAACAGGACAGAAAGTGGTGAGTGAACTATAGTAAAGAAGGATTTTATATGTGGAGAGTAAGACTTAAAGTGGAAAAATTGAGAAATTGAGAAGATGGTTTGAAAAATAGAGTTGTCTCTGTTAGTGAATCTAAAGCTGTGAAAGAGAATGGTGGTGCTGGGCATGTTTGAGTGAACAGCTGTGCTGGGGCTGGAGGGAACAACACGTGTATTTCCCTTTCTAGCTTCCAAGAGTATAGTTCGAATGGGACAGCACACGTTGAGAGCGAATATGAACGAAGGATGATGTCTGTATTTAACCACGTATTGGAAGAAGTGGAATCCCTCAACAGGAAATACGCTCCTGTGTCTTACTTGGCAAGTAACAGTTTTCAGATACACGGATGAAGATTCCAGGCACCACTGACCACCTCCATATATCCATTGCAGTCAGGAAACCAAAGGCCACATTACCACATTTTAGTTAATTAACATAAGCCATAAATAGCACAAGTGGTCTCTCAGGAGGCTTTTCATACTTTAATAAAAAGTCTGTGACCTTACTGGTAAGTCCTGACACTAAGAGTATGGCAGATATGAGACAAGTCGGGATGCCTAAAGGTCAGACCAGGGGTCTGTCGGGTCTCTCCACGCTGCCATTCCGTAGCAGTGAGGCATGTTGTGTGAGTCTGTGTGCTGTAGCAAGGGAGCTCTGCCCCTGCAGAGCACTGCACCAGCCGTGCCTCACTTCCTGAGCTGGGCCACTTAGTGCGGTGTTCTCTGAGTATAGTATTTCTTATCACTGCGGGTCATCAGACAACACAATGTAGAGTGTGCTGAATGCAAACAGTAAGCTGATAACAGGCTCCTTTTACAGAGCCACTAGGTCTTTGGCTCCTGTTGTAAAGCTGAAGACTGTGATGATGGAAACGGGGTGATTCATATGTCATGGACGGCATCTACTTGCCCTGCTTCCAAACTCATCAGTCCTTACCATCATTCCAAGTTGTGCAATGAAATGAGTTATGTGCAGTGCAGTTAATGTAAATCCTGTCAACTTAGTGTCACAGGTTCCATGCTCCTGCAGCTCCTTGACTGCAGTAGTGTTGACCCTTTTCGTCTGAGCAGAGGGGGTGTGCTGAAGGAGGGGAAGGAAGAATAGACAAATTCAAACCATTATAAGCTGTGGTAGATGCGGTCTTGCTTGCAGTTTTATTTGTTTCTTTACCCAGCTTTGAGAGTTGGTTTGGTTTGCGGGTTTTTTGTTGTTGTTGTTTGGTTTTTTGGGGGGGGGAGGTGGTACAGTTCTGTATTTTGGGGAGGAGGAAGATGGGATTAGGACATAGAGCTCATAACAATGTATGAAACTAAAATTGGAATGATTTAGGCTTTTCTGAAGACTGCAGAGCAGAATATTTTCTTAAAGGGTAGAAAATAGGTTTAATTTAGTCTGTCTCATCACAGTGAGAGAGGACATTACTCAAGGACTGTATTTTCAGTCTTTCAGTGGAAGTTGCTGCAGTGTTAGTAGTTCAAGACTATTTGCTTTCTTTGTGCTATAAAAGATTTCTCATTTATTACAGCATACAGCTTGTCTGTGCAGTGCTGTCATTGCCTTGTTGAAGGTACCCCTTTCATTTCAAAGGTACTTTTTCCAAAAACTGCAGTCTACAAGCATTAAGGTAAGTGCTGCTCAAATAGGATTTAAAATTTCCATTTATAGAATCTTTATGAAAAAAAAAAAACAGTTGATACAGCCTTACTAAAGGCACAAAGATTCAGCCTTCTTGGTGAAGGCACTTAAATGCAAATAGCACTTGTGTTTGCTTGTTTGGATCAGCAAGAGTAATAAGTACACAAGGTTATTAGGTACTATTAGTCTGTGACTCGGACAAGCAAATAAGATTCACTTTGACTGCAGAGCTTTAAAGGTAAAAGGCTACTGGCTCTGGGACTTCCTTGCTCCTGAGCCTGCAAAGCCAGATAATGCTCTAGCTGGGGCAAAGCAACTCTGCTCAGCTTGTATTGTTTTGTTCCTTTCCCTTTTAAAAAATAACGTTATTAACTTGGGAGGGAATTGTAGTATTTATCAGTTGACAGAGTAAGAATGGCCATATGTGACTTTCAGTGATAGCAGGGAAAGAAGGGGGCACTTTTTGTTGTACTCAGGGTGTTCCCTTTTTCCAGGAAAAGGGAGAGTCTTAAGATTTCAAGTGTTTATACTGAAGTGTGTTTTACTGTGTTCAGCTCAGTCTGTTTGGAGCTTACATGTGCATATTCTGTAGAAGGTCGTTCCCTCCCTTTAAAAGCATTTAAATAATGAAACAGACACCAAGATTGTGTCTGGTGGTCCTGATGTGCTCATTAGTTGTCATAGTAGTGACACTCAGCTTTGAGTTTTGTGTTCAGTCCACCTGCTAGCGCTTTTACCAACCCCTCCCTGAAGTTTAAGAACTATTTCCTTTCATATCTGAATTGCTTTTACTTTTCAGAAGGCCTGGGGTTACATTTCTGTCTGTTTTCCTGTATTCCAGCTTGCTCTGTCCCCATCTCCGAGGAACCCTGCCGAGCCTATTGCAGTGCAGAACAACCAGCAACTGGCCCTGAAGGTGGAGGGGGTAGTTCAGCACGGCTCGAAGCCCGGCCTCTTCCGCAAAATCCAGTCCGTCTGTCTGAACGTGTCCTCGGTGCTGCAGAGCAAATCTGGACAGGACTATAAGGTATGGGGAGTACAGAGCCAGGCAGTGTCCTGCACTTGCTTTCTGTCTTCTCCCATTCTTTTGTCTGCCTTTTATTTCCAAAAAGAGATTTTTTGCGGTAAGAACAAGTGACTAGGAGTCTGCTTGACATCAGGAAAATATGGCTCCCAAGAGCACGGGCGGGAGTAGGTTACTCTCTGCTGCCTACCCCAAACTTCCTAGTCCTCAAGCTGAGATATTTTTGTTCATTTTAAGAAATACTGGAGCACAGGCTGCCCAAACTAAATAGCACCTGGGGAGATGCGTGCTGAATTTGAACGAGCAACATTGTCAATGTGTTATCAAACATGGAGTGTCTGAAGTTGGGGTTCTGCTATTACAGTAACTAGTGAAAGGCCTTGTTTGGGTTTTGTGTGTGTTTCTTTTGTTTTAAAACCTCAGTTGCTTCTAAAGGGGTAGCATGAACACGAAGTGCCTAATGTTAGTCTGACTTAAATTACTCAATGGAGGGGGGGAAAAAAAAGTACCTTTGAGCAAGAAGGACTTATTGAGAGCTATTCACTCGTGTCAGTAGGTGCACAAACCCCATCCACTCTGAAAAGTGTGTCAAGAGTGGCTCAAACATACGTGTGAATTGGTTTGGGGAAACTGAGGGTAACAATCTTTCTCTTCTTCCATTGGAGAGAGCAGATAACTCCGTTGCATGGGTTATATAAAATAACACTTTAAATCTCTGCGTGTTCTCAGATTCCCCTTGACAACATGACCAATGAAATGGAGCAGAGGGTGGAACCGCACAACGACTACTTCAGCACCCAGTTCCTGTTAAACTTTGTGATACTTGGCACCCATAACATCACAGTAGAGTCCTCTGTAATAGATTCAAATGGCATTGTTTGGAAGACTGGGCCTAAAACAACAATCTTTGTTAAGTCTCTCGAGGATCCCTACTCCCAGCAAGTTCGTCTCCAGCAGCAACAAGGACAGCCTCCATCCCAGCAGCAACAGCAAAGAACAGCCTACTCTCGGTTTTAACTCCTACAGGTGACTCTTATCCTGCAAGAGTCAGGAGAATCATAGTTGTTTTTCTTGGATGCAGTTTTATCCCTCACCCAACAATTATATTTTGAATGTTCTGAAAAGAAGTGGCACCTGTGACCTTCTAAATTGATTAAGCTAAGGTAAATTTGGGCTTGAATCATCAGCAGCAAGTAAGAACTGCTGCTGAATCTCTTTCCCCTGTGTTTACAAAGCAGTTGCAGCTCCACAGCCGTAGCTAGCAGGGCGGGCTGGAGAATTGTGTGACTAAGGCTTTCTGTGCTTCCTTTTTATCAAGCAGGGGGGTTCTGATACTAGGCTCAAAGGCCTAGTTAACGTGCTGGCTGGCTAATACAGAACCAAGTGTAAAACCAGGCCCGTACCTCTTAACGTGTGGAAGAACAGGCAGGAATATCCAGAGCTTTTTTCCTGACCTATTTTGATAGATTCTCCCGTTTGTCTGGTGTTTTTACAGTTCATGAGCACTGTTTGATGTGTTAATGTGAAAGGGCCAAGGTGCAGGCACACTTTTCACATGGAGTTGTGAAGAGAAAAGACAGGCTGGAGGGAGGTGTCAGGAGTCTTCCAGGAAGCAGAATTTTGCTAGTGGGAGCAATAACTTTCCTGGATGGTGTAAAAAGATTACTGTTTTGTTCTCAATCTTCCTCATTTATCTGTGTTTCAGAAGCTTCTTTTTTAAGAGGAAAGTTAATTTGCAAGTTGTCTTTCAGGTTTTGCTTCCTTTGTATTTAAAGGAATTCATTAAATGTCAGCTTTGTAACCTTGTGTACCCTTCTACCAACTCAGTAGTCTTAATTGGCGCTTTTACAGGATAACTTTAAAGATAATTTTGCCAAGAAGAGCAGTACTAGAAGCTGATTCAGAATCAAGTTGGAAATAATGCTGCTCCACACACAGCTTTCATGCTGCCTTGGAGGTGCAAAGGGCTGAGCTCTGTGCCTGAACACACATGCAGGAGATGGCATAACATGTCCCTCACTTAGTGCTGATAAATAATCTTAGTTCATCACTCTACGTGACAGAAGAACTACCTGAAGGGGAAGGAGGAAAGAGGACACCTCTTACAGACTGTACCGTTTGTAAATGGTTTAATCCCTGTGTTTGGAGCAGAAATTTTCAATGTCCTTTTATCAGAACATTTCAAATATGTTGCTGTTTGCTCAAGTGGGTTCACTGTAGAAGCTGAGTAGAGTTTGCCAACCCTGCCTTTTTGGTCTGTAAAGAATACAGTAATGAATTGTTATAAGCCTGTGTTTCTTTGGCATAGTTGGCTGAGGAAGCAGTTTCATTGATTTTTTTTTTTTCCTACTCATTTCTTAAGAAGTCAACTCTGTTCCTCTTGGCTTGACACTCAGAGAGAGGAAAAAAAAGAAAGTGATCCCCATAAATTTTGTGATCGCTTGGTCAGATTTTAGTGCTAAAAAGAAATGATGATTGGGCTGCCAGAAGGAAGTGAGAAGACTCCCAAAATTATTGTAAAAGATCACCAGTGTGCTCCTTAAACTGGATCTTTATTTTGTACAGGAGGCAAAAATCACCACTTTCCTGTCATCTGCCTATGCAAAGTGGTGCTTCCTGACCCCACTAGAATGCTTATATAGTTAGATATAAATTTGTGTGTGTGTGTGTGTGTGTGTGTAAATATATAGATATATAGCACAAAGACCCAGAAAGAGGTGATTCAGGTAACACTGCATATGCCGTCTGTCAAACTTGAGAACTGAACTTCTTGTGCTTGGTTATTTTTCCTCCTCCGATGAAGACCTCAGACGCTTGTCTTAGCCACAAAATCATCTTTATTGTAGTAAGGAAAAAAAAAAAACAACAAAAAACAGGGAGGTAGGGGAGATAATGTGGGTAAAAGGCTCTGGACATAAATGTCACCCCCTTCCATTTTCTTCTCTTTTTTTTTTGCTTTTCTTCCCCCCCCCTTTTTTTTTTCTTAAATCTTGTATAATAGGTGTTTGTTTCTTGCTCCGGTATTGCCTGTTGGAAATCTGCGGTCAGCCGTCCAGGAGAGCTCAGCAGTGAAAGGGAATTGCCCTGGTGCAGAGAACAGGCTTCACCTGTAAGTCACCACAAACTCCCAGTGCGCAGCTAGGCTTGTGCAGAGGCTGGCAGAAAAAGACCTACCCAGGGAAAGCACCGTCCCAGGACATAGCTGGATAGGAGACTGTGCTGATTCATTGTAAGGAGCAGTTCAGAAAACTGTGCCTTGCCCAAAGGAGGAGGTTGATCCCCAGATCATACAGGGCCCCAGGACTCCTGGAACTTGTCCCCTGCAAGGAACTGAAACTGGAGTTCTGGGTCTGGCTTATCCTGCTGTGGCAGAGCCTCCTCCCTCCCTCCCGCCAGCCCCACTGTGTTTTGTGGAAGGCATGTGTAGGATTGGGCTTGCCTCTAGACTGCCTACTGGTTCCAGTCATGCTGGAACTACAGGGACAGCGCGGAGCAAGACGTGTCTCCAGCTGCCACCCTCGCTCAGCAGGGCTCCTATACCACAGCGAGCGGTCATCTCTCTAAGAGCAACTGGACCACCAGTCAGCCATAGTGCAAGGACCTCAGAGTATAAGTTTACCAGTGTATGGAGCAATATGCCAGATGCTCAACTATGGCCATTCAGAGTGGTTTTTTTGTTTTATGTTTTTTTAATTAGACAGAAAAGCCTTGATTTGTCAAGTGAAGGCTTTAAGTATCTCTTGAAGCTTGACTTTATAAATTAATATAGGCTTAGCATTCAGATGGTCCTATATAGATGAGTGGTTGGTGTTTTTGCTTACGGCCTCTTAGTTGGGTGAAACTTATTCCATGGGAACCTTCCAGCCCTGTGGAAAATATAAAGTCATATTTATTGAAAATCACCTCATATAGGAGTTGGGTTGCTGTGCAAGTGCCTGGATTCCTAATGAGTTTTGAAGAATTTTTCGTGCTGCCTCATTTGCAGGTTATGTGTTGATCAGGAAAGACTCTAAACCTTCCACTAAATTGCCCCTTTAAGTGAACACAGTGTTATAAATTACGTGATTTCTATGGTGGAATTATTCTTTGGGGGTTGTCTTGAATTTTTAATCCAAATACAGAGCCACATGTTTTGGAGAAACAGGAACCTTTATTTTTTTCCATAGAAGTCAGACTCAAAGTAGCCAAAGTGAAGTGAGAAAGGCTGTTGTAGGTACCTGTTTCAGCAGCAGCTTTGCATTGCTGTAGCTAATGGGCACTAATCTCATCCTGGGTGTATTAAAAGCTGGCTCTTCGATAAAAGTAGGGCGGCCGTCTTGATTCCTGCGGTCCAGTTCTGGTGCCAGCACTCGAAGCTGTGGAGCTAGGGATCTAGAAAGTACTTTCTATCATGAGGGCCTGAATTAAATCTCTCAAGCATTTCTCAATAAACAAAGCACTGCATCTCCATGCCTGCTTATACACTGATAATGGAAAACTGTTCAGATATCTTTTTCACATAGTGAAAAAAGATCTTAAAAAAAAAAAAAAAAAAAAAGAGACCAAATTTAGCTGGACATTAGTCTGGAGCCTGTTGCTAAGGAATCAATTAAACGGTGGAAAAGCTTTTGCTGGCAGATGGCAGCTACATCATTTGTCTTAATCATTAAGACGTCCTTTCATCTAGGGCTTGTGGTATGTTCTCAGCTGGAGAAGTGGGGAGCTGGGGACCCAATGTAGGGGGCTTGGGAGGCGCTCGTAATCCTTGTGGTCTCCATTAAACCAGTGGTGCTCCGTGCTCAGGCTTTGGAATTCAGCCTGACTTCCCCATGCACAATGTAACTAGGGTTCCTGGAAGCGGAGTCGGTCTCCTGGAGCTGGGAAGAGCCTGTTGGTGACGACCTGCACGCACGTCAGGAAACGTCAGGTTCCGATGTCCAGCCGAGCTCTTGCTTGAGGCCACGTGAGTCCTCGAGAAAAGGGTGAGGCTGGGAATTCCCTGTCAGATTCTGCTGTCCTCTGGAGTGGAATTTCCTACAATGATCATCCCTGTTTCCCAAGCGATTCTGTGCAGTCGTGGGCATCACAGATGGTGCTGGTATCTTGGACGTTCCTGTCTCTTGGATATGTGCCCATTTCACCTGCGGATTGAGAATGCCTTCACTTAGCTAAAATGTTCATGCTTGATCGTGGATAAACCTGTATCCTGCTCTTAAACACTGAGAAACTGTAGAGGAAATGCACAAATGTAGAAACAAGTCTGATGCTTCATATACACACATAAGAACTTTTTTATTATTTCTCTACTAATGCCACTATTTTATTAAAACCCATCTAAAATATTTTTGAAGGAATTAAGATTTGAGTGAATTTTACTGCATCCCTAAAATCTCTTTTACTTTGGATTTAATACTATAGTCCAGAAGATATTCATAAATCATTATTGAAAGTACAGTAGTATACAGAGTGCTGCAGTGAAGACTATTCAAAAGGGAGTGTTTCACAAGACTTTTGGGGCAGTTTCTGGATACTTACGTAGCAAAATTGCAGGGAAAGGGTGGGAAAAGGTGTGGGTTTTTGTTGGGGGGGGTGTGTGTGTGTGTGTGTGTGTTTTTCAATACAATCAGTAAGATGTTATCAACCTGTAGGTTTTGTGACAAGATTGCATTTTATTTAAAGACAAAAATGTCATTCTCAGCTTGCATTTGTGTGTCATAACTGTTAATAGTTCCTTTGCTAGGAACCTGTGGAGAGCTAAGGTGCATATATTAGATCTCTCATTCTGATCTGGGAGTTAGGTGTATGTGAAATACCAATAAGAGGATGTAGCGGTAATCTTTAGGCTAGCAAAATTCCCTTTGACTTTTAAGCTAGAATTGCTTGATTGGGCCTGAAGGATTAGTATAATGCCTGGAACGACTAATGGGAAATAACTAATCCTTTGGGGGATACCAAAAGGTATCTTTTTTTTTTTTTTTTTTTTTTTTCCTCCTCTGAATTACAAGAATTCTGAAGGGAAAATAACCTAAAGTCCAGGTGATTTTTTTTATTTGTTTTGCTTACTTGTGCTTATTAGGCAAACCTCTCCTGCTGTGGAAATCTACTTAAGCAGTAGTCTTGCAACTTAGCAGCTTCTTAAAGGCATGTGATTATACATTTTGAAATGAAAATTCACGTGTCTGTATGTATATGCATATGTATGTATAGGTACACACACGCATATTGCCCATTGGAACTGACAAACGTTTAAGTCATATAACCTTATATGACTTCTGTAAGCCTGGAAGCCTGTTTTATACTCTTCATGTAATAATAACTTCATGTAATTCAGACCAACTGTACTGATAGTTGTTCCCTTCTTGTTGTGGAAGCCTAAATTTTTAAAGCTCTCTGATGAGCACAGAGCAAACCTAGTGCAAAATGCCCTCATCCAGACTTTTACTGCAAAGCAGAAGTGTTTTCTGCTTATTCTTCATCTGGAATTTCTGATCTAGTTATAAGCAGCTCCTCCACAAATCTTTTTTTACCATTTCTTAAGCCTGCTGGAGCAGGGAGCTGTGTTCTTTTTATTTATTTGCTTTTTGAATGCCCGGCGCTAAGTGCTCTCCATCACAGAAAGCAGCGTACAGAGCAGTCAAGTACTTCATATACCACTAAGCAAAACAGATGTCTGTTCTTTTCTGAAGTTGCTCTGGCTGAACCTGAGAACTTGCAGGGAGTGGGTGAAATAAACTGGACAGTTTATGAGCCGCTGGCTTTGATGGTGTCTCAGATTTATTTCGTAGAAATGTCTTGTGTTTTGAGATTTCCTATAACTCGGTATGGAAAAAAATCTCACCTTCAGAGTAGCTGTATCTTGTGGTCTGTTGTCTTTCTGCTGGCCTGCAGTGCTTGGTCTCCTTGGTCAGCATGTTTGCAGACGTGCCCCTTGCCGTTGTTTGGCAGCACCTCCTCAAGACACTCGGTTCCTTTTACAGAGACGCAGGTGTAACCGTGTAGCTGCATTAGCCAGAAGAAGAGGAAAAAGTACAGAAAATGTAAAACACAAAGCAAGCCAAAAAGGTGCGTGGGGGAGGACATGGAGAGGCAGGAGCCAGGAGCTCTGCCAGCTTCCAGAGCGCTCCTGGCTTCGGGAAGGCCCAGGGCCGGGTCGTGCTTTGGGCTTGGCTGCTGCAGGGCACCATCCAGAGCGGCTGGGGCTGCCCTCACTAGCACTAGGAAGACAAAATTAAGACTTTTGTGGACTAGATGATTTAAAAATCATTTGCTCGGCAGCTCAGGTATGTGACTTGCTGACAATTCATTTATACGTCTCTTCCCTGCTCCCTAGAAATAATTAATTTTGAATGAGCCCTGTCCCTAAATTAACTGGCGGCTGTGCTTAACACACAGCTTCTAGCTACAGCGCAGAAGCAAACAGTGAAGAGCAATTGAATTAGAGGAGACTGATGGGGATAGATATGAGCAGAAGGGCTGGGCATTGCTGGAGATGATGGCATAGATCTTCAGATACAGTTTCATGCTTTGCTTGAGCCACTCTGCGTTGTGGCTGAGAGGGGCTCCCTCGGGGCCTGTTCCTGCCTCAGTCCTTGCTGGGATGAG